CACAGTTCAATGTCACAATAAATATTTTACATAATAAGAACGACTGTATTTTATATTGAATATTTAAGTATAAACAATTTTAATAATCATAAACTGTAAACGACGGAAATAATCAACATTGATGAACTATAAAAAGCGATGACACATTGTGTAAAAAATATCGTATTTTTAAGTTATATTTAGAACAGAAAAGAAGAATGCTGACAAGGTAGGCGTCTTTACAATTCGCGGAATAAATTTTCAGAATGCGAGTCTAAAAATACATGTAACGATGCACGGGTAAACAACAAGAATAAACAGATTTCACGCGGTGCCGACTTATCCCACTTTCGTTGTTCCATCCCATGGTTATATATAGGGAAAGGAAAAGGAAAACACGTATTCTGGTCCAGAGTTTTCTCACGTACGCACCCATCGAAATGCATATTCGTTACGATGTCAGGAACGCGATGGTAAATAGGCAGGACAGGAGTGTACCGCTCATTAGTTAATGCAATAAGATCGACCTATTTTCTATCAATTGGTTCGATATTCAGTAATAGAGGAGTCAAGGCTCGTTTATCATACTTACACGCGATGTGGGAATTGTACATCGCGTGTATGTATATTACACACCCTTAAAAGGCTGTACGGAATACCATCACGTTCACTTACCCCATTGTTTCTTTGCCCGATGTCATACAAATGAATACTAATTTCGCAGGCTCATAGAAAAATCCCGTTCAACGCGTGTGCGTGAGAACTATCAGCGGACAGCGGCTTCCGGAATCACTGGACAAATGATAAAAATTAGCACGACAGAGATAGTTACGCCAGTTGACAGCCGCCATCGGCTAAAGACTGTATAGCGAACGGCAACGATCACGCAACAACGTGAAGCTAGCCGAGTTTCTACCATATACACCTGGATTTAATCGATTTTCCGAAAGGTTGCAGTCTATTGCTAACCTCGTGGCTTTCTTCCGAGAAAATTACTAGACATAGTTAGATCTTGCATTACAATTACAAGACGAAATAGTCTTTATTGCATTTATGTAATGAAATGTCCGCACAGGTGAAACCTCTATCAAAACCTTTGATGCTCATGCCTCCGTTCTTCTGCACAGCTTAGGAACGATATTAGCAATTCTATATATAGCCACATGGGACCGGATTGATGATTCTATTAAATCTAAGGGACGGTCAACTTTCTTTCTCGTAAGAAAGAATGTACGACACTTTATAATTCAAATATTTCGGAAAATTGGTTTCACTGCGATATATCGATATCGAAGCTGTGCTTGCGCACAGAGTGTGCAGAGCAAACTGGTATAAGCATGCGCACAGAGAATTGAAATTAAAAAATTTCGCGCGGATGATAGATTAGCATACTGAACAAGTACCGAGGAGATATTATCATACATTCATAGCGTCCGTGTAATCGTTGGGAAAGCTAATGGAGTCTAATAGGGTTCAAAACAGTCAGTAATCGCTGCTTTCGGTAGTAATCGAGGAAGTCGGTAAATGGCTTGACGCTAGCGAAAAATAAATTATAAATTGAATTTCAATTCTTAAAGAATTCAAGATTCAACAATTAGAGTTAACTTATTAACTAACGTATGATTTAATTTTCAATCACTGGTACTCAGGATATCTGAATAAAAATGTGACAAATCATGCTCTTTATTTTTATTTTCGACCTTCATCGTTACAGAAATGAATGATAAGACTAGAAAAGTCGCGAGGAGTCATCCCTGAGGTACTTTGTATGTACTTTGCATATTCATTTTGCATGCTTCCGCGTTGCGTATCTCTTCAGGTTATCGAATGCACATAAACAGATGCACAGAGTTCAGAGAAAACTTTCACTCTTACAGTAGCTAATAGTAAGCTGGAGATAATTACAGTTAAAATGTCAAATAAAAATAAGGGTAAAGAGAAGGTTTACCCAGGCGTGTAAGCCTGTGCAAACTAGAGGCATAATCTTTTATTGCAGATGAACATGGATAAGTACATATCTAATCAGAACTACAGTTCGTAAGTTTGGACTTACTTTGCCATTTATCCCTACTCACTCATCCCTTCATACTTTCCGCACTCCTTCATCTCTCCACTTCCTTCATCTTTTCAGTCTGACGTCTCATACTTTACATTTTGTACAGCATGTACAAAAAAAGAGTGATCCTCGTTTAAATTAGTGCCTAATTATCAAGTATGAGCGATTACTCGAGACCGAGCAGAATGAAATTGCGAAATCGCAAGAGTTCGTCTATTTAATCTCGATCGATGCTTCTCAGAATGCATGAAAACTTTGTTTATGTAATTGATCGTGGTCGCATAGCTCTGACCTTTGTCCGTTGATCCATAGATCCCGAGCGGCTGCTCGTCTCATTGTCGGCTCGTCCGACGATTGGATTTATCTCCGCCGATTCCGTTTTACGCTGCGAGGAAACGCAACGCGCAAATTTTCACAGAGCCGATATTTCTATTCATTCCCATCTCGAGTCACAAATTTTTCCTGACTTAAGACAAATCGTAAGACCGATCGAATATTTCCTATATGAACGGATCAAGATCGGTTTAAAATCTCAAATGAATCTTCAGTACCCTTGAAAAAAAAGAACGGATATTGGACGTGTACTCCACGTACATTTATAATACGATTAGACGTATGTAGGAGGATGACAGAAATAGAATTATATTTCTCGTATATTTGCGCGTAGATACGCGGCCTTCTTAGATGCTACGGAATGATCGTTTTCTCATTTACGTATCTTATCTGGTTGTAACCCGTGACCCGTAACCCTCGGCAAACACGAAAAGCAAGAAGACCTTTGGTAGCCATCGTCCGTCCCCGCTGTAAAGAGTAACAACGTGGTTGATGCCCGTCGTCCATTCGGACAGTAAGCTCGGTTGGGACAGGAAGCACTTACTTTAACCGATCTATCGCCTCACTAAGCAGAGCTTCCCATCGCTCTACCGCCGCGCGGCCTGTTTCACACCCTAAATCCTGTTCTCGCTCGATCAGCGATCACCGAGCAACGCAGCGGTTCGGTGTCCAGTGTCCGCGCGTGTACAAACGTCCAGTCTCTAACTGGATGTGTCGTACGCGATACATATTCGTTCCTCCAAGTTTATATTTAAGAATTTCGGTAGCGGGATTCCGCTTTCTGTAACGCTTCGTGTTTGACTCGGAGCTGAAAATAAGAAGAGACGAAGATGTGTTGCAGTGGATGTTCGCTACGGAAGTGATACGAGGAAGATAATTACGAAGTCAGAGATCTAGCAACGGACGAGAGACAGAGGGTTGAGAAGAGTGGACTGATGTATAGATAAGGCGCGAGAAGACGTTTAGAGATGATTTGGAAGCTGGATCGAAGCGGAAGTTGGTTCGCCCTGTTCGTAGCGATTCTCATCGCAATCGAAGTAGTGCAGGGTATTACATTTTTTAATTTTTATTTTATTTATCGTAGAAAAACGAAAACTCTGTAGGTTTGTTTCTATAATGTACTAATGTAATTATTGATTCTATAATCGACATAGCGTGACATTTTTTATTGATCTGTTTATCCGTTCCACTTGTTGTTCGACTTCCTTTCCGATAATTTAATGCAAGACTTACGATAAGAGCAACCATGCGGTTAAAACTTCGAGCCTTTTTAAAAAATTTTCCTAATCTGTGAGTAAACGCGATTATTGAAATCCACAGGAAACATCAAGGATTCCACAGTTTGTGGCCGATCAAAATGCAAAGGTACGATAAAACAAAATTTTAGTTTTCTAGCGGATGATTAACAGTGATCGTCGGTTGCAGTGCCAGCGAGCAGGAAATTCAAATATCAGGAGAGCGTGTCGTACCACTACAGATATTCGGTGGCGGTCAGTACGAATCTCGGCAAGGACGAACATGCGAACGATCGAGCGCATGCATCGTCAGGTTCTCCCGGAAACGAGTCAACGTTGCATTTGAACGCCGACTTGGTGATTCGTTTCGACAGCCCCTGCGAGGGTAGCTTGAAATTCGGGAACGTGAGCCTGAGCCATGATCCTCATACGTACAATCCAGAATTCCCCGACCGTGCCGGTGCCGAATTCAAAAAGAATCTTGAACGTTTCGCGTTGAGATTCGCTTTCGACGATGGCCGGATAGACGAGCTCTGCCCGGACAAACGCGACCATGTCTGGGCTTTGAACCTGAAGAGAGGCGTGTTGTCAATGATGCAGAACACCATGCAGAGGTTCGACATCGACCGCCGTGCGAACGAATTAGACGTAAACGGTATCTGCGAGACTTCGTACCGTTTGCACGAGGCGAAACGCACCAGCTTAGTCTTGAACAAGACCAAGAATCTCTCGGACTGCGTGCAAGGCTCGAAGCACTTCTCTGTGATCCGTTCGAACGCTTATAGGAGTCCCCGTCGATCGGGTGCTTCTCGGCACCCACTGCTTAACTCCCAAATCGATTGCGAACTGACCATCGATCGTAACGTGTACGAGAAAATCGTTTGCAAAGAACTTCATCGCGTCAGACCATTGTCGAACGGTCACACAGGCGCGCGGACCGAATCATCGGCTACCCTTCAACTGATCGGAGAGTCCAAAGACGATTATTACTCGATTGCTGGCGACGACGACGAGAACGAAGATATGACGATCGCGCATCGCGGAAAAAGAACCAATTTGCTATACGATTATTCGAAAACGCCGAGGACTGTCCATGGGGAATTGAGAAGTTCCAGGGATCTCTTAAAAACGATGTGTAAACTGGGAGTGACTGGGGTCGACGAGATGCAGCAACGATTCTCGGAGATATTTACCGCGTTCGTACATTCAGCGCGACTTCTCGATTATCCATCTCTGTCGCAGTTGTTCGTCAGAGCCAACGGTATATGTAAAACCGGCAAGTGAGTAGCCAGGGGATGTTTAAAAATCCTAATAGCTACTACACTCGGGGTATACTTCTACTTTTCTGTTTCTTAGGAAATACATCGTCGACGCGTTGCCGTTTATCGGTAGCAACGCAGCCGTGAACCTGATGAAAGATCTGATAATAAAGCGATACGTCGATCAAGCGACGATTGACAAATGGATGGTCGCGTTTGCTCTGATCCCTCGGCCGAATCTGGACACGATTAGAATCCTGTCGCCTCTTTTAGAATTTCAGGATAAAATCCCAGAGGCTCAGTTCATTCTGAGTTATTCCGCGACGATTTACGCGTTTTGTTCCGGTCACGAAACGCGGTGCGCCAATGTCGAAGAGGTGACGCGGTTCATTCGATATCTCGAGGATAAAGTCGACAAGGGTTGCATGCCTCGAACGCATTCTGTATCCTCGATCAAGAAGGTATGCTACTTACGCTCGTGTTTATCATTAACATCAATTAATCCTGGTATATTTCTATCTCCAGACTATGGAAGTGTTGAAAGCGATCGGAAACATGGGTTTGGAGACGGAAAGATTATCGAAATTATTGAACGAATGCACAGACGACATCGGCGGATTCTTACCTATGGAGATTCGCGTTGCCAGCATTGAGGCACATCGTAGAATGCCGTCGTGTGAACAAACGAGGGATCTCCATTTTTTGAATAGATATCGAAACTTCAGTTTGGACTCGGAAATACGTATCGCGTCTTACTTACAAGTGATGCGTTGTCCCGATTATAACGTCGTTAAAACGATCAAGCATACGTTAAGATCGGAAGAAATCAATCAAGGTACACAGCTTACGCCTATATTTGGTATCTCAAAGACAAAATTCATCAGCAAGTAAAACTTTTTTACGAGCAACTTGCAGTGCTACTTGCCAGTGTATTCGCATGAATCTATGACGATATACTTACGCATATGTTCCTTTCATTCAAATGATCTGAATTTCTTTACTCAGAGATTACTTGGAATTCTATTTGCAGTTGGAACGTTCGTTTGGAGTCATTTGACGAACCTCTACAACTCCGCTTCGCCAACTAGAATCGAGATTCAAAGCCTGTTAACAGACCGGGACATCGATGACAAATTCAACAGTGACAGAAGGAAGTTCTCGCGAAATTACGACGGCTCCTTCTTTTCGGAGGAATACAACTTCGGTGCCAATTATCAAGGGAATCTAATATTTTCTCCGAAGTCGTATATACCTAGATCCGCGACGTTTAATTTGACGTTCGATCTATTCGGTGAATCTGTGAACGTTTTCGAAATGACGACGAGACTCGAAGGCCTGGAGTATTACGCGGAGAAGTTTTTCGGTCCGGACGGACCGTACGGCAATGAGAAGGTGTCGAGCTTTTTCAAGCACTTGCTCAGGAGTTTCAGATCCGCTGACCCGGAAGAGGAGCAAGATTATTGGAAACGCGTGAAACGTCTGCCGAACGTGATCGATAATAATTTTCAAGATCCTAAGATTAGTTTTAGTTACAAGGTAAGTGACAAAGAGGAAAAATACGCGGTGCTGGATTCATCGAATAAATACATCGAATGAACGATTTGGTCCAAAATCTTTCGAGTTATTCATACGTAAATCTGTCGTTCGCCGGCAGATTTTTGGAAACGATTTAAAATACTCGATGCTGAATGGTGACCACGAAATCAGAGGCGCTTTGTTGCGTATAAATCCGTGGGAGAAGTTGAAGCAAATTACGTCTGGAAACGAGATACATTACGAAAATGCGGTAATGTTCCTGGACTCGACGTATGTGGTGCCAATGACTTCCGGAATGCCCGTGCGATTAGATTTTGCTGGCTCTGCGGCGTGTAATTTCAAGATGTCAGGATTACTCGATGCCAAAGGAATCTCGAAAGGAGAAATCGAACTCGTCAGCAATATCGCACCTAGGTAATATTACATGAATTCTCTTTACTGCCTATCTCACTAATCATTAATATGATTGTTATTCGATCGCATACGCACGATATTCGCTACCGTTCAAAAGTCTAGACGCAATAATGCTTTTTAGCTAAACATGTATCAATCGTCTATCGTTTACGTTTTTATTTAATTCACAATCATCTTTCTACATGTTTCTCATTTGAATACAACCGAACACCTTTGAATCTCATGAATAATATATTATAGCTTTTTCAAGCACTTGCTCAGGAGTTTCAGATCCGCTGACCCGGAAGAGGAGCAAGATTATTGGAAACGCGTGAAACGTCTGCCGAACGTGATCGATAATAATTTTCAAGATCCTAAGATTAGTTTTAGTTACAAGGTAAGTGACAAAGAGGAAAAATACGCGGTGCTGGATTCATCGAATAAATACATCGAATGAACGATTTGGTCCAATGTTAAAAGAGTTATTCATACGTAAATCTGTCGTTCGCCGGCAGATTTTTGGAAACGATTTAAAATACTCGATGCTGAATGGTGACCACGAAATCAGAGGCGCTTTGTTGCGTATAAATCCGTGGGAGAAGTTGAAGCAAATTACGTCTGGAAACGAGATACATTACGAAAATGCGGTAATGTTCCTGGACTCGACGTATGTGGTGCCAATGACTTCCGGAATGCCCGTGCGATTAGATTTTGCTGGCTCTGCGGCGTGTAATTTCAAGATGTCAGGATTACTCGATGCCAAAGGAATCTCGAAAGGAGAAATCGAACTCGTCAGCAATATCGCACCTAGGTAATATTACATGAATTCTCTTTACTGCCTATCTCACTAATCATTAATATGATTGTTATTCGATCGCATACGCACGATATTCGCTACCGTTCAAAAGTCTAGACGCAATAATGCTTTATAAACATGTATCAATCGTCTATCGTTTACGTCTTTATTTAATTCACAATCATCTTTCTATATGTTTCTCATTTGAATACAACCGAACACCTTTGAATCTCATGAATAATATATTATAATTTGGAGACGACCGAACAGATCATCGCATTTTTTCTTATTCTTATGCGAACAGTGCAAGCGTCGACATAATTGCAAGTATGACCGTGGACGCCTTCTATAAAACTGCCGGAACTAAATTACGATCGAACATGTACTCGTCCGGCGCGGTCGAAATTCACCTGGACGTGAAAGGTACACGTTCTATTAGACTGAGCTTGGGTCTGCCCAACAAAAAGATGGAAGTATTTTCGATCGGCACGGATGTCCTCCTCACGAAGGGCAACGGTGCCGAGATCGAGGAGAAGCCACTGGACGTTTTAATTGCCGGACGATCGATCGCGATACCTAGAAACGTAATCGCAAACACGAGCTGCACTTGGACAGCCCTCGACAGATTAATAGGACTAAAAATGTGCGTCGATTATCAACTGTCGAATCGAACGAAAGATCCTAAAGCGCCGTACTTCGTTTTGAGCGGGCCGTCGCTTTTCAAAATTTCTATGATCAAATCAGATCCCACTGCTCAGAACTACTTGTTCGAGTACAAATGGGAAAAGAAAAAGGTACGCGTACAGTAGAGAGACACTGTATACAATCTATTCCTCATCATCATTTCTTTCCGTCGTCGTTGTAGGAGGAAAATTTGTTCAGAGTCGCGTTCGATACACCTGGATCGCAGGTGAACAGAGAACTGAGCGCGACCGTTTCCTTTGACGCTAAAACTCACAACGTGACCGTCTTGCTACGTTCCGCTGGAAATTCTCTAGTGGCTGAAGGTACTTACAAAAGCACGGAGAACGAGACCTTCGTCGATCTAGGCTTCGACGTAAACGGTACCAAACATCTAGACGCGAGTTTGGGATACACGATCAAGCGGTTTGGCCATGGCTTTGCGTTCAGTCCACAGATGCACCTGATCGTTAACAACGAGCGGATCGCCGCACTTTCAGGTTCGTTCCTGACGATCGCGTATAAATCTTTTGTTCTTGTTTTCTTTTTTCATCCCATCTAACAGAAATTCGATAACTGTTTAAAGGTACGATTAAAACTGCCTGGAAGAACAACATCTCGCAATGCGACATAGATCTGACTTTCCGAACGAAGAAAGTTTGGAGCAAATTGGTGGGTTACATCATCCGGAGGAACGTGAGCTTAGCCGGCGACTTTCAACTGGAGTATCAACTGCAAAAGATGCCGAAGAAGGAAACCCTGCGGTTCGAGATGTCCACTTCGAACCGTTCGTCGAAAACATTGACCCACAAGACGCTCGATCTAAAGTTACGTTCTACGGCATATCCGCAATTGAACACGGTGATCACCGCGTGGTATCAGCAAGCTCTCGGTCACCTCGAGTTGCACGCGGAGGTGAACTCGAGCCCGCACCTCATGGACGATCGTCACAAACTCACAGCTCGATTGATCATCTCCTATTCCAAGATGTACTTCCAAAATCAAGATACAAAGGTCAGCGCGTTGTTCGCCGTGACGAAACCGATTCAGAACTTGGACTTAAAGATCGGGATGAATCACTATTCCATGGGACCAGAATCGAGAACAGGCTTGTTAATAGGATACGCTCCAGGTCGGTTTAGAGTCTAGAGAATCTTTTTTCTAGTCTCCGGTGACATCGTGTGTTATTTATTTTATTTTATAGGCAAAGAGATCACGTTGACCGTGAACCTGATAATGCCTCGCGGGCTGACCCTCGGTTTAGAGGGTCACGCGAATCTCACGATACCGAATTTCCACCCGATGCTGTTTGACGCACGAATTACGGAGAGATCGAAGCGAACTTACGATTTGGATTTAGCTGGGACGTGGTTCAGTGGGCATAATATGACAGCGCGTGGTATCTACACAGACAAATCGGTAGCGAGCGTAGTCAGTCATAGCTTGAAGCTGATATTGAAATCTCCGAGTTTCGTCGACATTCTGCTCTCGTGCAAACTGTACAGGGATTACAGGGACATCAGAGCGAGCGTGCACTCTCGGTCACCTCGAGTTGCACGCGGAGGTGAACTCGAGCCCGCACCTCATGGACGATCGTCACAAACTCACAGCTCGATTGATCATCTCCTATTCCAAGATGTACTTCCAAAATCAAGATACAAAGGTCAGCGCGTTGTTCGCCGTGACGAAACCGATTCAGAACTTGGACTTAAAGATCGGGATGAATCACTATTCCATGGGACCAGAATCGAGAACAGGCTTGTTAATAGGATACGCTCCAGGTCGGTTTAGAGTCTAGAGAATCTTTTTTCTAGTCTCCGGTGACATCGTGTGTTATTTATTTTATTTTATAGGCAAAGAGATCACGTTGACCGTGAACCTGATAATGCCTCGCGGGCTGACCCTCGGTTTAGAGGGTCACGCGAATCTCACGATACCGAATTTCCACCCGATGCTGTTTGACGCACGAATTACGGAGAGATCGAAGCGAACTTACGATTTGGATTTAGCTGGGACGTGGTTCAGTGGGCATAATATGACAGCGCGTGGTATCTACACAGACAAATCGGTAGCGAGCGTAGTCAGTCATAGCTTGAAGCTGATATTGAAATCTCCGAGTTTCGTCGACATTCTGCTCTCGTGCAAACTGTACAGGGATTACAGGGACATCAGAGCGAGCGTGCACGTGGAACAGCTAGACCGGGACACCTACGCGTTCGTCTTAAATCACTCGGTCACGTCGCCGACGACGTTCATCTCCTACGTCGAAGGGAGATACAAAAACAGTGTGTATTCGTTGACGACGAACGTGGATACGAAGCGGGAGATACGGGCGGAGATACACGTAGATAAATGGCGAGACATTCACTTAGCGTTGACTGGCGTCAACGAGGAAAACAATAAAGAATTCGGAGCGGAGCTCAAATGGGACGCGAATCGCGATCCTGCGTTGAAGATCGCGATCTCGTTCGGTTTCGAGAAGACTGTACTCATCCCTGTATCCTCTGATCCTGAAAGGAACGTCAGCGCGGTGTTCAGGCTGACGTATCCTGGTCGCTATGTGACTGCTGCGTGCCGTGCGACCGCACGCGGTTACTACAACTACTCGGTGGACGCGACGGTCGACTGGAATCCGGAACAGACAATGCGATTGTTGATCGCGACGCAGAATAATCTACAGCCGTGGATAAAATCGAGCAGTTTAGAGACTCGGCTGATCACGCCGTTCGACAATTGGAAGGAAACGGCTCTGACCGCTAAGTAATTATTTATTGCAATAAGGAATGAATTCTGTTTTGACGTTAGAGAAATTAGTTTGCTATATTATATAAAAAAATTTGTTTGTGGCAGATATCTACAAGAACAGAATAGGATCAAGGCGAGCGGCAGCGTCCACTGGAGAGACTCGCAACATTTGATTGCGGAATTGGAAGGCAGCAAGGAAGAACGACAAGCGGACAAATTTAAGGAATGGAGAGTGAACTGTGGAATACACAGCTCCATGAGTTCCATCTCGTCTACTACCGTAACTATTACTCATAAAATGGTTGATTCACGAAACGCGGATACACGTTTGCTGGTTCTGTCGAACGAGAACGCTGAGAAGGTAATCGACGCTTGGAGCATCTGGTACCTGAACAAGGGATACGGCAATGAGACTGACGAGACATTCAATCTGACCGGTAATCTGCATCTCGAGTCCTCGGTTATTCGATATAAGAAAACTGACATGAAATGCCAGCTGCGAGTGTTGTCCGATTGGAAGTTCGTAGGTGCGACTAACTTAGAATTGGACAAGAAGACTTACTCTGGAGAACTGGTCGGCGATTTTCACCGTATTAAAGAGTCCTCGATGGAACTGAACCTCACCACTCCGTTGGAGAAGTTCTCTTTCATCCGCGGAAGATTTGGTTTGTCGGAAAGTAACAGGCACATCGTCGCGAAATTGGACACGCCTTCTGGTTCACTCGGAATCGAAGCGATCTGTCAATTGTTCACCTCTAATTACCAGTTCCATGTTCTACTGTCGGTCGCTACTCCGCTCGAGATCCTTCAAGAAACCCTTCTGATCGCCAAGCTGAACGACCGAGAAGCCGACTTTCGCGTCGGTTACATTCAAATGCTCGTAGGATTTCAAGGCGTTTGGCATTACCACAATATCACCGATTTCCATTATAGGTATCTATTGTTCACGCCCATCGACAGTCTAAAGGAAGCCGGAGTTGTGGCTAAATTAATTACGAGTCGCCGCACCGAAGATGATCGCCTCAGCATCGACACGGAATTCTCGATCAGACTCTCCGATGATAAGAGTGACGGTAAAATCGGCGTCATTAGCGGCTTCGACGAGACTAAAATCGGCATCAGGGTCAAAGCTGGCCCGAAAAATCCACCGATCGTTATATCGATCGAACCTCCGTCATTCCCATCGTCGGTCAATCATTCAGAATCGAGCGGAGATCAAGGGAGCGAAGCAGACTTCGAAGATTTCGAGAATTATGAAGACGCACCGATTCATTGGCACGGAGAGGCTGAAGCATATCTAGCAATCATCGCACCCATCGCGGGAGAACTGGACGTAGATAAGCAAGGGACGACGTCGAAAGTCGCAGCTAATGTGCGATACCTCCAAGGAACCATATCGTTGGACGATATTCTCTACATAGAGGATCTCTTCAACATGAAGAACGAGTTGACGATCACCTTTCCGTTTCAGTCTGTCAACGAAATCACTTGTCTGAACGCGTTCGTAGTTGACATGGAGACTTCTAACTATACTATGCAAGCGGTAGTGAACGTCGGACGGAACGGAACCCTCTACGAGACTGGAGTTCTCATTAATTACGTTTCCACCGAGAGCGAGTTGGACGATTCGCACGTGACGCACTCTTTACGCGTGAATATGAAGACCCCTCTTGAGTTCATTAAATTCTTGGACACGAACACGAGCCTGGAGATGGACGAGACGTTTAGAAAAACTAGAATCGAGATACGCGCGCCTAATAGCACGATCACGGTGCACGGGTCTCTCGAGGCGGAAGACGCGTTCGTAGACGCGTCGCTCGACTTCGCGCTCGACACTCCTTTCGTGAAGCTACCGAAGACAGTGATGAAACTTAAACGAGACCTGAGCGAGAAAGACAAGTATTTGATGATAAGCGGTGAAATTCAGGAACCAATCTCCAAATCGATTTCGTTTCAATCTGGTTGGCGCGCGTCGGAGGCGCGAGATCACGTGACAGGTTTCGCGGTTTTCCAGTCGTGGATGGAATCGTTAAAGGGCGTCGAAGTCCGCTTATCCTACTTGAACGCAATTCCGAGCAACTCGACGGCGACTCTTCTCGTTTACGCGAAACATCTCTTCCGTACGGATTACAGGGAGTACAAGTTCTCAGGGAATTACACTGATAATTTAATCGACGCGGAATTATATACGTCCGAGTCGATGAACGATCCGCATTTCACGTTCCACGGCAATACAAGAAAACTCGAAACGGACGATGTCTCTTTAAATACGAAGTACGAGTTGAACGGTCAACTGCGGAATCGCTTGACCGCGGAAACGCGTCCAGTTCTTGGGGAATTCGAGTTGACGCGAAATGGTACCTTGCAAGCTCTACAGATAACAGCGAGAACACCAGGAACACTGGAACTGCCCGAAACACCGGAATCGGCGATCAGTAATAAGTCCGGCGACGATGACGTTGTTCTAACGTTGAAACGTGAGAAATACGGTTTGAACGTCGATCTTCTGAGTCGCTATACGAACGGAACGATCGAAGCGAATTTTGTGAACTCGTTCAACTGGGACGTGAGAGTGCGTGCGGATATCAACGAAACGAATCAACTACGATTTACCACTTTTATGAACGTACAAGTGAACGGGAATACGACGTTATACGTGCACGCAGAAACACCGATCCCGGAGATTCAAAATGTGAGTCTGACCGGAAATCTGTTACTGACGAACAACAGCGGCGATGCTCGAGCCAGTGGACGGTTCAACGAAGAAAATGATCTACTCCGTTTCGTGACCATTCAATGGAAATTGGTTCATCTCATCGATATATTCGGAAGAGTGATGACCGGGTATCGAGAGGCAACAGCGGACGGGCAACGCAAGATCGTCGATTGTCAATTATTCTTTAGAAATCCTCGTCGCGCGTTTCGTAACGTCGACGCTGGCTTCGACTTAAACGTCGATCAGAACGAAGTTGAAACACCGTGGAAATTCGCAGCGAACACGACTATCGGTTTTCGAAACCACGAGAACATCGATGGAGTGTTCGCGATTACGTTGCCACCTCCAAATAAGGACGATCATCGTTTTCTTATCAGCTATCATTCGAACGCAAACGGACCCGCCAAGGATGCCTCTTACGTGATCGGATACAACGCTATACGCGCTAATACCAATTATGCTTCCGATGGATCGGTTTGTATCATCGACTTCTTTACGATTTATTCCTGACTCTTTACACTTTTACTTTATTTTTATTATGTGTATGTAGATACACATGAGTTCGCGAGATATCAACGGGCACGTTCGCGCCTCTTGGGGAATGCTACCGGTTCAGTCTATTAACAATCTGCTGAACGTGAGCTTCGATGGCAAAGAGATCGAACTCAAGTACTCGCTGTACACACCGAAATTTCAGCAACAAGAGACGTTGGTATTTCTATTCGATTACAATCGCATCGCTCCCGATTCCGAGGTACGAGCGATAAACTCGGAGATTTACTACCCGGCGAGTACGAACATTGCCACGGCTAAAGTTTTATACGACAGTCTGGTCAACGTGAACGGAACCGTGAACGCTGTTGTACCCGTGGCGAACATATCGCAGTTAGGATGTCAGTTCATCGTATTGACAACTTTGTAAGTCATAAGAAATTTCCGAGATTGATTCTTAAGAGTTCAGAGTTGGATAATTCACCTACTTAGTGTGAGTAGGTGTAGTTCGAAGAACGGATATAGAGCGGTCGTAAAATTCGTCAGATAGTTAAAATCGACTCTTTGGCAAATTTTACGACCACATGTCCATTCCTCTAACTACACTAATATATTAGTAACTGTTAATTGTAAGCGCAACGTGTTGCAGGCAACGAAATAAGAGGTACGCAAAGGTATTCTGGCCACAGGACACCGCGATCTTCGACTCCGACTACAGTTACAGTAGCGAGAAGTTAAATTCGGACTTGGAAGGAGTTTTGCACGTGGAAGTTCCCGTGAGCACTCGTCACGTGAGCCACCTGACCTACGGCTATAAGAAACGACCGCAGACGACCACCGGCTATTCGGAATTGATATACAATGGACAGAAAGCGATTTATGGCCTGTACAACTCAAAAAGCGAGTCGAGGGCCGGTTTCGAAAGGGACCGCACGCAGATCACGATCGAGAACACGTATAAACCGATCGGTATCCTCTACGTGAATCAATACGAGTACAGCGCGGGAAACGAGGGGACGAATTTCCCGACCGTCGAATACAAGTACGCGAACTTGTATCAATTAGATAATAGAACCGCGTTTGACGTGGTAGCTGAATCTACTATCAAGACGTCGCACACGGGTCAGAATATCCACTTGAAGGCGATCCATTCGAATAGAACTGTGCAATTTAAAACGGACTATCAGGTATTGCCAGGGGAATTCGATCAGACCAGTTGGCTCAGTTTGGCCGAAGACGTATGGATATCTTATCGCGTGAACATTTTAAATAAGACCACCGAGCGGGTAGACAACCAGTTCCTCGTTCTGAACGTCTCCTATCCTGGACGAAATTTCAGTCTCGATGGATCATATTGGATCAGTAGCGACGAGCTCAGGTCCGAAGTGAAACTCGACTGGGACCGAGAAACGGAGAGACCCAGGACTATAGGCGCACGTTTCAATTGGGCTAATCTCTCGTCCTCCGCAGTCTCTGAATCCTCGTCCGAACGAACGGGATCGGACGGCGAAGAGGACGAGACGGGTGTGCAACAGCGCGCTGTATTTACTTTGAGGCATCCGAGATTCTCGAAACAAATCTATTTGAAAGGCGAATTACTCAAAACCGATCCCAGAGATTTAATCAACGTTCGGCTTGTCGCTGATTATTCCACCGATCCGGATAAACTGTTCATGGTCTCAGGCTTGTTCAGAGACGAAAGCGAGCTACCGATGACTAGAAAATACTTTTACGGAGTGTCGGGTAAACACCTGAGCTCGAAGTTCCATCTCGACGTACAGGGATTCGTTCGCAAATACGAGTATACTTTATTCGAGACGTATAACACTGGCAACTATAAGCGCAGCTTCCTGGACGAGGACACGGGCAAGCTGAACGCGAAGCTCGATCTTGTTCGCAATGAGGTACTTTTTCAACGGGAACACAACAAGGCGGTCAAATATTTGAACGGTCGATACTACTCGTTGGACCATTGCTACGTCGTCAATGGCACAATTATCAATACACCGAGTTTGAACGCCACCGGCGCTTTCCTCCTTGATTTAAACAACAAATTGACGCGAATGATGCTGAACTACACTCCAGGTACGCGAAAATCGATGATCTTTTTCAACTGAAGCATCTGTCCTCAGAGATTTTCTTTTAAAAAATTACCGGGTGACTTTAATTTATAAGATATTGAATTGGTTTTGCCTCGTATGTATTCAACGCTTCAAACATTTTCTTTTTAATTTGATGGTCAGAACAAATGCTTTCTGCTAATCTTACTAAAATTGGAATTAACGTTTCGGCAGATGCGGTGGAGAGCTTACGAATGTACGGCAGGATTCCGGACGCGAGGAACGCCGTCTTCGACATTTGGAGGACTTACGAAGAAGATTTCACAGTGTCCGATGTTTCCTTCTATTTGAAGCTGAACCATTCCCGACTGATTACTTCCACATTGCGTTGGAGACCCGAGCTAAAGGCCGATATAATTGTACAATCTTTTACTTTCTGACTTTTACTAACGATATTTTTTTGAAACATTTAAACAATTTTTATTTCGTTACAGACATTTGTAAGAGATACGGCGATGGACATGTACAACAACATAAACAATGATGCGGACTATTGGAAGCAATACATAAAGGATGAAACGGTGAACGTGATATCGGACGTTTGGGACAACGCTCGAGAAGACGAAGAGCTTAAGGAATTCCTCGACGATTGCGAGTAAGTTTTCTTTTTATCAATTAACATTATTTTCTCTGTGTACGCCATTACTTATATTTCTTTTGTCTGGGAAGAAATCTAAAGGAACTGCAAACAGACTTCGATGAGTTGAAGACCTTCTTAAATGACTCGTACAACGCAAACGACTTTTATATAAAAAACATCGTCTCGTTCGGGATGTACGCGATCGACGAGCTCTCGCTTCGAAGTCACATCGAGTCCCTGCCTAACATATTAAATGAGATATGGGCGATAATGGGCGAGTCCGGGGAGGCGATCCGGAACTCTTTACTCTGGGTCATCGAAGCGATTAAGAGCGCTTTTAACAAAATTCCAGAGATCGTCGCCGCCATAATCAGGGGTGACACCATTTCACAGCTGGTGAACGTGGTCGACAAGCTACTCGAGAAATACGATAAATTCGTGAAAGACCTTCACGTATCGTTCATTAAATACATCGAAAGTCTGTGGGGAAGGATCTCCCAGTCGATCTCGCAACAATGGAATCGATTTTTATTATTTATCGAGCCGCTCTTCATCCGCTTCATCCACTATCTCGAGACCGTCATCTGGAAGGCGAGCAAAGAGATACTGGATTTCCTGTACGACCGCAGGAACGATCTGATCGCTTCGCCTTACTTCGATCGCCTCGCTAATTTCACTCAAGACGTCGACAAATTTTATAGAGACATCAAAGCCAACGATATTATAACGAACGTGAAGAAATATACCGAACCGGTGATACGGTTGCTGAAAGAGAAGTACTTCGTGTTCGTGCCGTTCGGTAAGGAACTGAAGGACGTCGTCGACGAGATCATCACCGAACTGAGCGAATTAAAAAAGTTACCTTCTATACACTACGCGCTGGAGAAGATGTGGCAGGTGTACGACAGAGCGTACTATATTTACGACTATCTCGAGATACAAGCGAGACTGGAATCCGCTCTTCGATTGATCCATTCGAAATTGTTGGACGTGAGTCAAACGGCTCTGCAGGCTGAGAGCAAATATAGGGAAGCGAAAACGAAGTTCATTTTCGATCCTAACCAGGGTCTGATGTGCTTAGAGCAGAAGCTTCCGATGTCTTGGCACACGTTCAATCAGACCCCCGAGTTTCAAGAAATTCCAGAATTCCGGGCGATTTCTGATATAACATCGTACTTCGTTTCATCGTCGGACATCACCTTCTGGAGCATTTATCGATACAAGCCGTACATGGATCCGGTCAATTGGTTACCGCCGTTCAGAGGTATGTACGCTCAGGTTTTAATAATCCGAGTCGATACGATTGCATCGCTGCACTTTTAAAAATCGAACTGTATGACACTAGAGATTGATGAGCAATACAAATTGCTCCTCCGAAATTTTGTTCTATCTTCAATAGAAACAGATTCATGCATTATCTATGTCTCCTACCTGCAGAATCGATTTTGCGATTTACGATCTGAAGGAATCTAATTTATACGAAACGTTCCAGCGCAAGCAACGATAATGGGCTCGAAACACTTCATCACTTTCGATGGACGGCACATAGACTTCCGACGGTTGGTGAACACCAGTTCCTGCAGCACGTATCTACTAGCTCGCGATTTCGTGGGAAATACTTTCACCATCCTCCTCGACTATGAACATAGCACAGGTGGACACAAGATCATCGTGTTGCTCGAGAAAGACGCCCTCGAACTCGACGTCTTCAATAACGTTAGTATTATATCAATGGTACACGAACTCGATTCGTATAATAGTAGCTGATATTTCGATGTGTACCTATTTTCTTTACTTCGTTCGCAGAGTATCAAACTGGTCTCAAAACAATCATACAAGGAGTCGTCACAGAGCAATTTCGTGCTTCCAACGGAGCTGGAGAACGGGACAACTTATGTGTACCAAATGGACAGCATAGTGATCGTCGAGCGTAATCAGAATCAATTCCGTCTCGAGTGTAATTTCAAGTTTGATCTATGCACACTGGAACTGTCTGGCTGGTATCATGGGAAAACGGCCGGCATCCTTGGAACGATGAACTACGAGCCTATGGACGATACCACCGGATCGGACGGAGTCGTATCGAAGGACGTGAGAACGTTCACAGAAAGTTGGTCGTTGGATCGTTGCTCGACGAATCGTTCCGATTTAATATCGACGACTACGACGACGGCGACCCCGATTTTGGAACCTGCAGAGGAATCTTCTTCGACTCTCGTCTCGGAGTTCTGCAACGATCTCTTCGTGAACAAGAGTTCCGAATTCGTTAGCTGTTTCGACACGATAGATCCGAGCGAGTATTGGAAAATGTGCGACGAAACCGAGAGCCGATTCGAGGCTTGCACCGTGGCGTTGGCCTTCATGCAGGCTTGCACGTTCCACGAGACGTATCTTAGAATCCCAGACGTGTGCAGTAATTGCAGCATGATAAACGGTAGCCGAGTGGCGGAAGGTCAGTTCGCGAAACTGGAAGACCACCAGGTGCCCGCTTCGACCGATGTAGTGTTCATCGTCGAAGGGAAGGAGTGTAACCGCAACATGAAGGAGAATCGGAGCATCGAGCATCTCGTCAGTCAATTGAGCAAAGAATTGAGGGATCAAGGCCTCGCGGACAACCGATGGTCTCTGGTCGTATTCGGAGCTGACAGAGTCTTCGATCAACCAAGAACGATCGTCTTCGACGGACAAGTGTTTACGAAGAGCGTGGCTCGGTTCATCGATTATTTCGATTACGTACCGATCGGCGATGGAAACCGTGACATCTTCGCGGCTATCGCGTTTGCTTCGAAACTTGAGTTTAGAGCCGGCGTGTCTAAAACGTTTATCTTGATGCCTTGCTCGAATTGCGAGCCCGAAAATCAAACGGTGAGCAAACGGCTCGTATCCTATTCTATCGTATTCTCTAATCGTAATTTCTGTCTATCGTACATATTACTGTTTTATTTTTTTTTATAGTTGGATTACTCAGTGTTGAACGAAGTTCTATTAGAACACGGCGTCACGCTTCATATTCTAATGGACGGCGATTTCGAGTTCGAGAAGGAGAGACTGAACAAAATCTTTTACGGATTGGACGCGACCAAGTCGTACACAAAGAAAGACGCCAGGACGTTAACAGGAGACGTCGATTTACGAAGACAAGTGAAATTGTCCAAAAACGCGCTGGGCTACTGCACGCCTCTAGCTTTAGAGGTCAATGGAACTATATTCAGCGGGGATAAGTTGCGATTCGACAAAGCGACTTCGATCAAAAAATTTGCCAGCGTTTTCTCCAAGAGGGTGGCTTTGACCGCACAACCCAATCCCTGCCAGAATTGCGAGTGTACCGCTGACAACAACGGTGTTACACGCATGGAGTGCATACCGTGCGTTTATCCGTCTCCGGTCTCCGTTGATTACGTAAGTTTGCTTTTTTATTTTTCTGTCTCTTGTCCTCACAGTCAAGAGTGCGCTAGATCTACGTATTATTTATCAATAATAACTTCTATTTCAGGAAGCGTTCAACCTGAACGATTCGCTGGCGTATCTACAGCCGCTGAACATCGATTACAGTCAAATCGACGTCGACGACAGCTGATCGAATAATTTTCATCTCCCCCCGATATTCTGACTTATTTTCATCTACATTCTTTTATTATACATACGTATATGCGTGTACGTATGCGATTTCGATACCATTTAAGGATGTATTGGCTATACAGTCAATCCCAAAAGTTCATGCACTTTAGAAACGCATTTTTTAAAAAGAAATCAGAC